CGCGCTGCGGGCAGCCACCCGGCTGCTGCCGCCGCCCGGCCGAGCCTCGGCCGCCTCCGGACGGCTTGGGCGACTTTCTCCTCCCGCACCCGCCCGCCGGCTGGGGATCGGCAGGGGTCTCCCTCTCTCCGCGCTCGCCTCGCGTCTCCCTCCTTCCCCTCGCCTGCCTCTCCGCCCCTTCCCCGGCTGCCTGCCTCCCTCGCGCTCCCTATCGCAAGTGCGGAGTTGTGAACTTCCAACCTCCCTCTCCGCCTCGGTACTCCGCGCGCGTCCGGAGCGGCCCGCTCCAGCCCCGAGGGTGCGGCGCTGGGAAAGAAGGGGGAAGGCGAGAAGGGAGGTAAGTAGGGCCGGGGGCTGGGGTGGGGGAGGCTGGGATGAGGGGTGATGACAGGGAGCCGGGACGCGGGTTCCGGACTCGGGTCGGACACCAGCCGCCAGCCAATGAGGATGCTCCATCCAGTCCCCTCGCTCGCCCAACCTCTTCACCCCGCCTTCGCCCACTCCCACCCACCGCGGCCCGGGGCGGGGGATGAACAGGCTGCCGGGTCTCACAGCTGACCAGAGGCGACCTCTGCTTGAGCGCCGCGGGCAGGGAGCGGCGATTTCTGCTAGCGGGGGAGAAGGGCTGGGCGCGGAAGGCTGCGGGCACGTGCCCTCGCTGGCTTGTCCGGTGAGGAGACCGAGAGGAGTTCAAAAGCCCACTTAAAATACCGAAAGGAGAGAAGGGGTGTTGAATTCACCGGCCGTCTCTTCTCAGTGCAGAGTTGGTCTGCAGTCAGGGCCCTCGCAGTGTCGCTCCCCCACGACCTCCAGGGTCTCAACAGGCCAGCGCGGGGGCCCCTCACTGGAGGGTGGGCGCTCATTGAAGGGACAGCAATGTCCCTGCAATTTCATTTACTTGCTGGAGATTAGGGAAAGGGGCTGCCACTCCTCTGCCCTGCTCTGCGCTCTAGGACTTTGCTCACTCTGAATCCTGCACTGGAGCTCACGATTATCTTGGTGACAGACTTCCTAGTTTTAGTGAATAGTATTTCCATATAGAATGCACAAATCTGTCCCAGCTTGCCGTTTCCATCCTGGTGTCTCTTTGGTGGGACAGATCCACATGAGGCCCAGAGGCTCAGCATTTAAAAAAAAAAAAGTTTTAAAGAACCATCTGTTATGCAAGCTCTTCGGCCACCAGTTCAGCCACATCTTCAGAGATTTCAGATTTCATCCCAACGAGATGAAAAACATTTTTTCTGGCCTCCTGACTGCATTCGAAAAGCCTCATATTCAGGGTCTGTTGTGCAACAGGGTAATTATCAGAGTCTGCCCACAAGGGGTGAATTTGAATCTCAAAAGATCTGAATTTATCCCATGTAAATGGCATAGAGATCACACGGTCAAACTGCCCAGTCTACTATTTGATGAATTTAAAATGACTCCAATCACTGCAGTGCATAATTTACACTTTCATCTGAAGTGAGTTGTGTATTACCCATCCACTCCTGGCACTTCAGATACTACTCACTCTGAACTGATTTGTCATGACGCCTATCTACCTTCAGAATCTGTATTTTAAAAATTTTAGCTTTAGTCGCAATTCAGTTTTGTGGAAACACTTCAATCTTAAATTTAGGGAGGCCAGCCCATTACTGTGTATTGGGGAGTGGGCTAAAGTTGCCAAAATGAGGGATCCTTAAGAAGCTCAGATTTTTATGATAATATCACAGAGCTGAAATCGTTGTTTCTCCTGCATTGCTTGCCAGTTTAGATGAACTTAGAAAATCAGTTTATTTCAAAGCCTCCAGAAGCTTTTCTCCCACTACAATTCAAAGAGGCTTGGGGCACTTATACAAGCCCTTCCTAAAGGCCCCCCTGGCAAGGATGCAGGACTCCACACACTAGCTCCTAGGAGCAGCTTCCAGCCCTGTGTGGGATGTAAAGTCCTCTGCTTGGTGGCCCAAGAGGGGGAGATTAAGAGAGCTGAAAGAAGTTCACAGGGGATTTCACAGGACCTTGTAATTGCAGTGTGGCAAGAAATCTGTGACTTGAGGCAGTGGAAGACCTAAAGAGGCAAATTTTGTGGTCCTGCTCATAACGCCAGCTTCAGGGCCAGAAGGGACTCGCTTAGGCCACAGGAGTGAATTCACCTATCCGGGGCAGTCTGCCCTCCCACATCCCCCGAGACAGAGTGATGGTGGCAAACGGCCAGCTGGCATCTATTTATCTCCACACAGGTAGATTTCTAAGAAAGAAAAATGCTCACAAGATGGGAGCAAGGTGAAAGGGAATGGGGCTTGCAGTTGAGCTTTAAGAGAATCAGACCTTTAAAAATTTAGGTGCACGGCGAAAGACAGGTTCCCTAGCTTTCCTCTCTGCCTTAAAGGTTTAGTCCAAGCAGAACCTTCTGCTCTGGAGCAGGCAACCCAAGAGCTAGAGGTCTCAAGCAGAGAGGAAACTGCCTTTTCTAGGAACCGAGGCAACTTGGAGAGCGGAAGCCGGGTAGCCTTGGGCGCTCCAGGGCGGGAAAAGCTCCCCAGGGCCAGCTGGGTTCCAGGTTCTCTCCAGGGATGTCCGAAACCCCCTCCAGCGGTTAACGAAAAGGGAAATTTTACTGGTGTCCGGTCCTGTCAGAGATCCAAAGGCGCATTCACCTTTCCCGGGGCAGCTCCTCCAGGAGTTTAGTAGAGGTGCGGGATCTCAACCCTTGCGCAGACGCGGATGGAGGGGCGCGGAGCCAAGCTTTGACGCCCAGTGCATTAGCAGCCTCCGCAGGGCCTCTCCACTCCTTCCTTCTCAACACTCACCCTCGCCTCCTGACCCTTCCACTGCACTGGGCAGACGACCCCGCGGAAGCCGAAGGCTCACCTACTCTGTGGCCTTGGATGGAGCCCGGCGTCCCCGGGGGGGCCCTCTCTGGAGAGCCGAACCGGGCACCGACCGCTCACCCGGGAGGGTTCTAGATTCCCGAGGACAGTGTGAGGCAAGAAAGCCTTGTGGCCGAGGGGACGGGAGGCAGTTGAGCCGGACGCAGGTGGAACGAGCCCCGTGTGGTCTCAGCGCTGTTGCCTGTGGTGGTCTCGACGGACCGAGATCTACATCAACCCGGGGCGGCGGACACAGCCCATCCTCTGGCCGTGCGTCTCTTACCCAACGCCACTCTGCCTCTTAGGGCCGCACTCTGGAATCCCCCCGGCCTCACTCCCGGGGTAAACCGCTGGAGACCTGAGACCTGGGAAGCTCTGGCACAGCTCTGGTTTTGGACACCCGGCGCGCCCTCAATTTCTTCCCCGCTCGCCCTCTGCCAACTTCTGGAAAACTTCTCCCCGTTGCCTCCACCTCTCCCGCCCCTTCTTGCAAACGTGACTGGTCTCCCAGGGCTCGGCCTTCCCGCTCTTGACTTTGTCTTAAAGTGTTGATTGACGGTTGCAATTACAAAGGATGATGGCTCGGGGAGGCTCCCGCAGCCTTGATGAGCCGGAAAAGCGCAGGCCTGGCATATTTTATCCAGGCGCAGCGTGGGGGGCCGAGCGCGCCCCATTCACCGAGCGGGCTGGAGCCCAGCAGCCTCGCACTCCCCACCCGCAAGGGCGCCGCCTCTGCCTCCCGCACTGCCGCGCCGCGCTCCGGAGCGCGCCGGGAACATACCGCCCTTGACCTGACCTGGGAAGTCTGCTTGACCCGGCGCCCTTCACCCACGCGGCCTGCGGTGGGATCAGATGTTCAGATTTGCAGGTGCGATTTCTTTCCTGGACCCGGGAACTGAGTAGCAGGCAAACTTTCCCACGCGCCTGGGTAGATGAAGTCTCCCGTGCTATGTCCAACCTCTGTAAACCTTTATCCTCTAGGTACTTTCTGGTTTCCTCCTCCGTATCTACGTGTTTGGTGTTTTAAAGAAACCAGAACAAGCCGGGCGTGGTGACCCACGCCTGTAATCTCAGCTCTCAGGAGGCTGAGGCAGGAGGATCGACCTGGGTTGCGAAGTGAGTTCAAGACCAGCCTGAACTACATAGTGAAACCCTGTCTCAAAAAGCAAAACAAAACCCACAGAACAATTACCTTTCTCGTCCCGCGCGTTTCTATTTTTCCGCCCCTTGAAGAAACCTAGATTTTTTTTTCTCTAAAGGTCTTCATCACTCGGCAGCAGCAGCAATAGCCCGGGGCAAGAGAGAAGCAAGTTTATCTGCATACTGAGGCTCAGATTTGCTTAATTTTTCCGCCCCTCCCATCCGAAAAGCCCATCCGACACTGCTTTAGCCTTTTTCTGAAAACTGAGTTGAGCTAGGACTGCAGAGGTTCGCTCTGGGCTCAAGGGGCCGGGCCACACGCCCCCCACGCCTAGGCTCCACCCGCCCCCTCCGGAGCGCTTTGTTTTAAAAAGGAACGGGTTAAATTTCAGTACAGCCGTGTGCATTACTGAGGAACCGCTGGTCGAAGCTTTAAAAAAAAATACACATAAATGAAAAAACGGGCCGTGTTTTTTAAAAAATTCCCTTTCTGCTGCTTATCTTAAAGAACTACTCAAGACACCATCAGCCACAGTCCCCGGTGCAGGAGGAAACTCTGTTGCCCATGTAGGTATCTACCCCCAGGAAGCGGAAAGGAAGGCTACCGGGCCAACGGCACGGGGCTCGCCCCCACTGTGGGAGTCTCAGCCTAGCACAGCCGGTCTTCACGGGGAAAAGACAATGAATGCCGAAATTTGGGTAATCCAG